GTATGGGATTTGTTGGATTTCCTCCCTCCCCCACTACTACTGTCAGTCGGTTGAAATTGAAGGAGAATATTCAACTGACAAGACATTTTATTATTCTAGCTTGCACCCAACCCTTCGTAGAAGGGTAGAGGATGAATGAAGAATGAAAACTGTCGGAGAGGGCCTATTTTATCGGTGTTTCTTCGGCTGATCCGATCCTCGCAGAACAGTTGAGTTGGAGAATTCTGGAGCCCGAGAAACCTGCCCAGAACAACCCCCAACCTTTTTTTTCAGTAAACCGTGAAATCGACTGGCCTAGAGACTATCAGAGGACCATAACTCGCCAATTTTGTAGGGTTAAAGGGCTGTTTTAAGCAAATTGTAGTCTATGTCCATGATTGATTAATATTCTTCACAGTATCAGTAAATATCATATTTTTTTGAAGTGTGAGCTGTTTTCTTTTGTTTTTGTATTGAGCAGGTGTTTCTGCAATGTCTGATTGCGTAAGGACTTTCAATCCACTACTGGTAATTTGGAGGTGAGGCAGCGATTCACTGCTTTTCTACCGTCCGTGGATCGAATTTGGACCCAGGTTTTCTCAGACCAATCGTCCCCTCCACCCCTCTGTTGCCATCATTTCAGTTGCAGACAGTTTAATAAGAAAAAGTCTGGTTCATATATTTTTCGAGAATTCATCCCAAAACATTTCAATAAATTTTTTTTAAATCTGACAAAATTCAATGTAGAATCATTCAATCTACTTAACCATTGATATGTATGTTTACCACTGGTAAGTATTTCAACTTTACCCCGGTTAGCCATTGCACAACCGACCTACACATTCAAATGCTGATGCGATGCCGAGCCGAGCGGCAGTTGAAGGCATGGCGCATCCAGTAGGTAACAGACCATTGTGTTCATATTTGTATTCCTTACCCTGCTCCCGTACTTTATCACTAGAAGATCGAGCAGTAGGTGCAGGAATGTGCCTCAGCGGATAGGTCCTAATCAGAATCCCTCAGACTTCACGCCCAGAGGGACAGGATATGAAGTGGGGAGGAAGAATAGACGTCATTCCCGGACATTCGAAGATAATGGGCAGCAAAGGAGTGGAAGCAGGACGTTAATGCTCATTCATATGTGGGCGTTTTATTCAATGCATAGCTCAGGAACTATGCGTTCCCACTGGTATTTCATATGACTCATTTCTGAATCAGATGCTGTTGATCGCTTCATCTAACCAAACACATCATCCGTATCGATCGACTTTTTAGAATTTTTTCCTTCCAGAAACTTCTGATTTATTGATTTTTTCGAAGTTCATCCGTACTGCATACTGATGGAACACAACACAGACTGACTGATAAACCACTGTGTCAACGGAATTATTGACGTAATGGTGATGGAGAGTCTATGATGGCAGATGGGAACGGTTTTTTGTTTCTGAACCCCCCTCTTGCAACAGAGAAGAATTGCAGATCGGTTATCGATTGGGAAATGAAAAATCAGAGTTCAATCAGGGGAAAGAACAACCGTCAGAAGAGCACATATGCCAATGCACCTGTTTGAGAGTCGAAGTGTATGAAATGTTTGGACGTTCTATTGATTTTCAAAGTCAACCAGTCGCACTTTAAAACCAGCACTGAAGGGTTTTTTCGGTTCGTTGAGGTAAACTCGAAAGTTTTCGTCTGATTTCATCGGCAAACTCTTATCTGATCTAAGCGTTCCCTTTGCAGAAACAGCTGAAAAGTGTTGAAGCCCTGCAAGAGAACGAAGCCTTTCGAGTAGAATTTCGCTGTCATTTTGCCCATGATCATGTGAGAGTCAGTTGGAACACTCAGAATTGGAACTCTAGTTGGAAGTGGTCTGAGAATCACTGAAACTCGTTAGTAGGAACATTTTCCCGGACTAGAGTGACCAGTGGTGGGGAGCCTGTAACGTGGCGATTCCAGTTCCTGTTTCCTCCCGGATCCATGGGCAAGGGAAGAAGCCGGATGACTAACACAGTCGGAACTGAAGCTCCAATCAATGTCATGAGCGCTTCTGAATCAGCGTACCACCGCAAAAGGGCGCTGATGAGTCAAGGTCCGGTGTGAATCTCCACCTGATAAGCCCAACAACGACTATGCCTTGTCTACACCGACCTGGGAACCCTACAATATGACAGCTCGATTAGCATAGTCTCCCCGTGGCGGCGAACGAAGGGGGTCGGGCTTAGCGCGGTTCGCGCCGTCCGAAGCCTCCACCGGCGCCGCCGCCCGCCGCCACGGTGGTTGTTGTAAAGCGGCCGGCCGCGCGTTCAGTTGCGTGTTTGCCCCCACCTCGTCCACAGCAGGCAACCCCCCCCCCTTTCCCGAACCGAACGATCCCTCTTATTGATATTTACTTCTACTACGCGAACGTCCGACGATATATACTACTTTTTCCGTACACATACATACTCATACTATACTCATTACTACTACTGAGCACTATGCTTAACGCCTTCGATTCGAACGACTTTAGCCCCATGGGCCAAATTGGGGCCGCTGCGGCCGCTGCTGCTGCCGCCGCCGCTGCTGCTGCTGCTGTACATCAACGCCCCAACACCACCGTCAGCACACCTCAGACACAGAATCGCCAGCCACCGATGTCCGTTGGTGAGTCGATTACCCTACAGGGGTTTTTCGGTTGTCTTCCGATTTCCGATACGAATCAGTCCGCTTACCAAAAGGGTATCATAAAAAACAATAGAAAATAAAATAAAAATATTTATAGCACTTCATACCTAATTCTTCTACATTAAGTCTTTCCTAATTTGCAAGAGAAAAATAAATTACTAAATTAATTTTTGAAAAATCTCCAAAAAAATATTTCAAAGGTTCTTTTTAAATCGTAGATAAATATCATATCAAAAGAGGCTACATAGCGACCGAATTTTGTTGTACCTGTCATAACCCTGTGTGCGCCATGTACTGGTCTAATGATCTGAATCATGAGTGTAGTTGGAAGGTCATGGACTACATGCCTTACGTGATAATTGTCTACAACTTGATTCTATTTCATTTCTTTTTGTATCGCAAAGTGTAAAAGCTCTTGAGAGGGACTCAGCCTTGTTGATTCGAAAGAGATCGAACTTGTTAATGGGCCTTAGCTGGCACTGGCTCCCTCCCACTACGCTATTGAGACTATGTACGATTCTCTCTTTTCGCAGCACATGATCCCCATTCGTTGTTCGTTGTTTGTTTGCTATTTCTTGTACTTCCAACGAATCTTGGCCGCTCGCTGAGGTCCTCAACTGAGTGACAGCTAATGGGGCCCATTATTCTCAGTGGAACACTTGGTTTAGGCGAAGTTCTTGCATTCGAGACAAACCGTTCAGTGCTGATCATTCTCGGATGGGGGTGCATCATGCATTCGCCCTCTAGTAGGAATCATAGTGGGCTTTGATTGTGCTCACGATGATGCCTATGAGGGTCAGCCACTTCGAGAAAAGGAAGATTTGTCTCACAATCAGGGCTAATTAATTGGGAGGTCTCAATTTAGGGACCGATCCTATAGATGCGATAGTATCGCCACCTGTCACTGCTCAGCTCTTAGCCCGTTGAGTTTCTTGCACTATTCGGGATTGATCAACACCGAACACTTTGTCCTTGACGTAGTGGCTTTGCTCGAAGCCACTGTCCGCTGAAAATAATCGCAACCTCATCTGTTACCCAATTAAAACTTTTAAAAAGTCGAGCTTCGCTACTAATTGCAAAATAACTAAGTCAATAAACAAGTAAATAGCTAAAAATAACCAAGAATAATGTTAATTATTAATAATTAACGCAGTCAAGCAGACAAAATTAATTTTAGTCAGGAATGCTGCTAGGTGATAGGCCGTGAAAGGCACCTGTTGAAAAATATTCTTGAATCATTCAGAATCATCAAAGTACGATATGTCACGGGAAAATTTCCCCATTCATTCAGAACGCATAGTGGATATGGCATAGTGGCAAAGGCTATCGATATCAGTTACTTAGTCTTTGGATCAAATCCCTACCCACCCCAGCAAAGTCCTCCAGCTTTAGGAGATCGCTAGAATGGATCCTAGCAAATAAAGGGGAGAAAACACAGGGTCTCTCACGGTATGGCCGTGCAGGTGGGAGGCCGCAGGGGAATAAATAGACGAATAAGTAAGTAAGTAAATAAATGAATGAGGGTAAGTAAGTAAATAAACAAATAAACAGATAAATAACGGAGCAAATGATCACATAAGCAGATGATCCTATCAAGAGAGGCCTACTTTCAGTACCCTCTACGTTCCCCTATGATTTTGGATAGGCCTGGTATACGTGTCTATTACAAAGGGCTATATTATCGCTAAGTGCTTCATCCTTTATCCTCTCCAGCGAACTTTGCAGAGGGAAAAACTGCTTCAGCTTTACAGCAGTATGAGTGTGTATATGTGTAAAGAGCATCCATCCATCCATCTATCCATCCATCTATCGAAACCGTCTTTATTTCGCCATCGTCAAAACGTTAATGTGAAACTTTCTTATTGATGCTGACGGCAAGATAAGTAATCATAATGTGTAACTGTTTAATATCCCTTCAGAGGGTCTCCTACACCGCTATTCCGTTGCTATGCTACTCTATCTTTCTGGCTTCCCGAACAAGATGAAATATGATAGGCACTGAAGTGCAGAAAACTGGAAAAATCTTCTGAAAAACGTGTTGCTGAGATGGATGGATGATCGTGGTTGCAAAAAAACACGAAAAGCATGAATCCAGCAGACGGGATTGGTGAAGGGTACGAAGGCTTCAGTAAAATGTTACCTGGCTGGTTGTTGGAATAAATCTTAACCAAGGCTTCAACTTTTTAACTTTTGCTATTCTGAGCCTGAAGAAAGGAAATGACGACAGCAGGCTTGACTGGGTATCTTCAGTCATATCATGGAGCAAGTGTACCTTCAACTACACCCACGATATTAAATGACAGTCAGCTGCATGGCGCATCCCAAAGACCAACCGCGTCTACTACTCGCCCTCAATTCCAATACGATTTCTGTAAAATCGTTGGACCTCTGGTTTGTTACGAAACTTTCACTTATGTCACTCCTAGGGGTCTATCTTCCGGGACTCTAAAGGACCCAGGAAGGTCAAAATGATGGAAGAGGACAGAAACGCTCTTCTCCGCTTCCATGGTACATTAAATTTGGTCCCGATATGTTCGTTCACTTCTTCTACCCCATTACTTCTGGACATTTAGTAAATGGCTTCCATTCACAAGGGCGGAGTTTTTTTGGAGATTTAGTACTGCCATTAAACTAAGAAGTGAAGACCTCCTTGAAAATTCAGCCGATGATTTTTCTCTGTGCATAGAATTTACGGCTCACTGTTTTATTTGGAGGTAAAAATGACTGAATTGCGCTTAGTGTAAACTGCATTCGTCCCACAAAACCCTGAAAAATAGTGCTCCGCTTTTATCCTCTGCGTTATTTCTTCAGAGAATAATCGTTCAAAAAGCTATTCTCGGACCTTTCCCTTCGAAAGATATGTTTTGATATCAATCCACAACCAATCTATTTTAAGTCATTATAGTCATTATTACCACAACCATTTGATATATAATAGTATAATATATATTACTATTATACATATTATTAATATCATTGGTAACTGATATAGTAAATTATTAGATTTATTTGTTAATCATTGCGGGCAGAGGTGCTGCAGTGGCAAGTGGCACACTACATACCACAAACGTAGGTGCAGTTCGGGGATCGACTACTAAGTCCTCACACGCCTAGGCCATCCTTCCGTCCCTGTCGGCAAATTGGTACCAGACTGATCTGGGAGGATAAAAGCGCTGACTAGTACATCAGGGGCCGTAAGGTATGCTTTCTTGTTCGGGGCTGCGACGCCCCGATTCGGGTCTCTCTCTCTCTGCTCTCCACGAGAGCATCTATCTCTCTGCTCTCTCCGAGAGCTTACCTTACCGGGAAGGGGACCCTCCCCCCTTCGGGGGAGCATACCTTACGGCTCCAGGTGGCCACCGCTTGTCATTGTATAGGCCGGCCACACACGCATTCAATACATCAGAAAACTCTGAGTTGAAGTCGAATGCGGGGCTACGAAAATCTTGGTCATACCAATTCATAATTAAGGAAAATTAGTAAAAACTGATGGAGAAGAAAGGGGTAGAGCACAGACCAAAAGCACTGGCTACTGGCTCACATAACGCACTATTGATAAATGATCAATTCAACTCCGTTACTTCAATAGTGCAAACCTTTCTTTGCTTGTGATATTCATGTTCTCATTATTCATCAATAATGTAATCATCAGTTGATTGGCGGACCTTCGGCATTATTTGTATGTATATAAAAAAGCGAATAATTTATAAACATCTAATTATTCAAACCTCATCTTCAAAGTCTGCCAGAACCAGCGATTCGAAGCTGTCTTTTTCAAACCGCTGC